ATATATCTATAACTATATGCATGTTTATCCTAGTATGTGTGTGAAGGACTTGAGCAATTCAGACGAGTATAATTCTATTATGTAAATACATACGTCTCTAGCTACATTTTTATTATGAAATTCAAATTTGAATCCCATTTCAGATCTTCTAGATGTAGTAGCATAATCAAAATCAATGAATATCAAATAGACACTTTTTGTATTGCTATTTAACCTGATTCTTAGATAGAACCTGGTGAAATATTCGAGAATATCCCCTCCCCACCCTTCAACGCATACAACATTATAGAAATTATAGAATTTATGCACATATTTTAGAACGATATGTGTATTTCAAGTATAGGAATGGCGAGAAGTTCTTAAAAAAAACCGACGACAAGAGCAAGTAAAATGCATTCCAGTAGCAACAATTTTCATACAAAAGCAACAAATGTTCGTACTAGCTATAAATGTAATATAGATGCGTAGATCTAGCGATATATAGATACTATATGCGTATATCCATTAATTTTAAGTTCAATTCTTGTGCAATTCGTAAGCGTAAAAAGCGTTTAGTTCAACAAAGATACGTACATCTTTATCCATATGCAATATATATGTATGTATATATGGATATTTTACAAAATGTGTAGTTAGTTCTCTATCCTCTAAATGTTATGCATTATGCGATAAGCTCTCGATTCCGTTTAAAATTTAAACAATTTGTATAACTTCTGTAGTAAAGAATTCAAGTTTGTTCGTTTGTTAACCGATCCTACGATTAGAGAGTGTGCCGTCGTGCCCCCAAAAGCGTCATAACATATATTATTAGACATCCCCCAAAACATTGAGAAATGAAATCTATTTTTTCAAGAAAGACTGCTGTGATTTTAAATATAACTAATTAATTTAAACCGATAGGAGAAGAGTGTAGAAGAAAACAGAAACAAAAATACAAAATAAACACGAAATCATGTAGCTATATACGATTATCAAATTACATAAATTGTTCAACTTTATCTTAAATAAATTACCAATTCTTCGAAACATACAAAATTAATTTTGATTGGCTTGCAGATGATGGCTTCCAGAAATTCCAGCTGGAAAACAATCGTAAATCGTTTTCGAGATTTTTTTCAAAAAGCCAAGGCGTTCGCATGGGAAAAAAATATAAAAGGTTTTCGCGGCGATCAGATTTCAAACTCAGATTTTGGCAAAAGTTAAGGCAATTTATTGATGCGACTTGCTGATAAATGTTGTGCATTAATATCTCTTTAAAATGGTTATAATTTTAGATCATTTTAGATCAATTTTAATTAAAATATATGCCAATTTGTAAAAATTTGTAAGTTATGCTTCAACGCTTTCATCGACTTCTCATTCAGCTATATTGTGCGCGAGGGCTTATTCCGTTCTGTTTGGTTTGTAGCCGAAGTGCAGCATTCGCGTCAGCATGGAGGTGAAGCACGGTATCTGCCGTGCCTTTATTGGGTTGTCCTGCATGTTCGACTCAAAGTCGATGGCCACGCGCTGACTTACAAAAGTGAGAATTGTGAGCAGGTCGTCCGTCTTGCCATTGCGGTCAGCTCCTCGATAAGTGACTGGATGTACCACGAGCCCTTGCCTACATTACGCCAGGAAGTGTAGCCTGCAATCGCATGTTCAGTAAGTAAATATCGTAATAACGTTACGATTAGATATTCATCCATACCTGGAATCGTCGAGTAGGAGATGAGGAAGTCTGCATGGACGGGTATGTTGTAGCTCATAGACGAGTCCCCATCAGTTTCAGTCCGGCACTTATTCAACATCATGCCCCCGTCCACGAGATAACCTTGGCAGGCTTGTATGAAAAAGAGCTTCGGCTTGCCCGCTAGCGTGGGGCACATCTTGTCAGTGAAATAGTGGAGGATTATGTCCAGCTTGTACTGAATGTCGTTGGCATAAATGCAGCCATGCTCGCCGTGTGACAAGATGGCAATGGCCAGGCAGTCATTGTCGGTGTGGTCCTGCGCAGCTGCCTTCTCCACATTTTCGCGAATCTTCTGCCACTTGCAGTCCTTGTGCACCGTGACATCGAAACCTAATTTCTTGAAAGTCTTGCTTAGCTCCTCCGCGTCCACGTTGGTGCCCAAGCGAGTCTTCAGCCTGGGTATCTTGAAAAACTCATGATTGAATATTAGGGCCAATCCCCGATTCTTATGATTCATATTGTACTCCCTGGCAAAGCTACTGCAAAAATCCATAGTGTCAATAGACTGTCATATTAGCGATAAGGTTCGATCGAATCATTGTGAAGAATAAGAAATTAATGCGACAATGTACCCTACCCCGATCCAACCGTTACACCACCAGCTACGTCCGTTGAATCACCAGTAATAAAGCTCCTGTTTATAAACTCGTTCGTCATTTTGCTTCTGATATCTTCTCAAGGTGAAGAAACTGCAGTTACTTGTTTTTGTGATCTTCTTGTTGCCTGCAACACTTCTTACGTTCTGTTCGCTGCGTCGTCGCCTGCTGCACCTTTGCTTTAACATTTTGCGCCTTCTCTTTGTGCACCCATAGAGATGGAAAATCAACCGATGACTTTCTATTTTGTCGATTGTTTTGGCGATTTTTGTAATCGATGTTAAATCAAAATGGAAATATCGAAGGCCTCGATAGTGTCATCGATGATTTTGCAGCCTTTTTCACATCTCTACAAAAAATTCAACAAACAAATAAATTATTGGAGTTTTTTTGAATTAATTAAGCTGCATAAGCTGAAAGGATGATTTGCCGATTGTGCCTAAACAGCGTCAGCGACACGGACACCATCCAGATCTTCGAGAGCATTGGCGTTACATTGAATGTGGCTACAGTGCTGGGCAAATACTTTTGGTTTGAGGTGCATTTTATTCTGTGCAGAGTTCGAGTGTAAAGTTTAATTGCATTATTTGTCAAAATTTGCAGCCAAAAAACGATGATCCCATATCGACGGTGCTTTGCGTGGGTTGCTGGAACCAAGTGAGCCAATTCCATGAGTTCTTTGTGGCCGTGGAGAAGGCGCACCGGCTGCTCACCGAACGCTTCTCCCTCAATGTGGGGGAAAAGTCTAACAGCGTACAGCCAGAGATTGAGGAGGAGCCAAATCAGCTTCCTGATGAGGCAGAGGAGGCGCCCCAGTTGCCTGATGGGAAGGAAGAGCTAAGCCATTTACTTGATGAGCCGGAGAAGCCGCTTCCGTTGTCTGATGGGGCGGAGGAGCTGCTTTTCCAGCAGGAATTGGACGTGGGTCATCAGGACTGCGATAGCGATGCCTCCTTCAGCAATGAGCAGTTCCTTAGCCAGGTACTGTGTCCGCAGGATACTGATGACCAGCAGGCAATGGAGAAGCAAGAGGAAGTGGATTTCAAGAATGTGCCACTCATTGCTGTAGAAGAACGTCGGGAAACGCGCTCGACAGCCAGAATAAAATCGCATCAGGCAGCAAATATGGAGCTCTTAGGAGCAGACCTAGAATCCTTGGCAGCAGATGCGGAATCTCTAGAAGTCACAGACAGCGAATCCAAACCGGTGAACACTTCAGCTACCGTCGCCAAGCGACGAATGCGAAGTCGCAAGTCCGAGCAACATTCAATGAAAGCCAAACGTTACGTGGACTATAAAAAGTCCATGCTGGATATCGACCAGAAGATCGCTGGCCACATGCGTCTGACCTGCGACATCTGCCACCAGGGCCACGCGACCTTCCTGTTACTCTGCAAGCACATGCTGCAGGTGCACCACCGCAAGGGGTATGCCATCTGCTGCCACAAGAAGTTCTACAAGCGCTCCGCTCTGACGGACCACATTGACCGACACACAGATCCCGAGAAGTTCAAGTGAGTGGTAAAGTGGAGGCCAGCAATTTGAAATTTCTCACACCCAAAAGAGGATCCTTATTAACAAATCATGTGATTATAGGTGCACGGAGTGCGACAAAACTTTTGCGGACAAGCAGTGCCTGCGCAATCACGAGCTGCTGAAGCACCAGCCGGACGATGTGAAGGTCTTCATGTGCGAGCAGTGTCCCAAGCGCTACACAAAGCAGTATTTGCTGGAACAGCATCGAATCATCCACAAGGAACGCACTATACCGTGTGGAATCTGCGACAGACGGTTAGTTGTTAGTCAAGCACTCGGTTATCCCTGATCTAATTGGATTTCTACCTTGTTTACAGGTTTCCCAATAACTCTCTGCTCAGTACTCACGTGAAAATGGTCCACAGTAACTATGGCACAATGTGCGACATCTGCGCTCAGGTGATACGCGGAAGAGCGGCCTTTAAGCGCCATCAACTAGAACACTCCGGTGTCTCAGAGCCGAAGGTACAGTGTGACATCTGTGGATCGTGGCACAAGAACAGGCATAGCCTGAAGAAGCATGTGCGTCGGCACAAAGGATCCTCGGAAGAAGTGCGCACATGCAAGGTGTGTGGCAAGGTGTCACCCAATCGGAGCGCCATGCTGAGTCACCAGCGTTATGTGCATTTGGCGGATCGTAAGCATGAGTGCAGTGTGTGCAACAAGGCCTTCAAGAAAGCGATTACCCTCAAGGAGCACATGGCCATGCATACGGGGGAGGTGCTCTACAAGTGTCCCCACTGCCCCAAGACATTCAACTCGAATGCCAACAAGCACACCCATCGCAAGAAGGCTCATCCCAAGGAGTTCGAGGAGGCGCGCAAGGCCCGCACCGAGAGCCGAATGGCCACCGCCGTCGATGGGCCTGGGCCTGATCCTGAGACCCAGATTATCACAATCTCTACGGAAGGCGACGAGGGCGAGAGCGAAACACAAAACATTCTGCTCACCGCCACCGAGGAGGAGCTCAAGGCCGAGGGCATTGAGTTCACCCTGTGCCTTAGTCCGCAAGCGGCAGAGTGAAAGATCGATCCGATCTGTTTGTCTGTTGGAATTCTGTATAAGTTTATTTGTAAGATCCTTAAGCTAGCAGCGAGTAACAAAATAGACGGAGATTTGAAATTGAATGTTCTTGATAATTGGCTAATACTGGTACTAACCGCGCTCGCAAATGATTTCCACAGCATTGGGCTCCATCAGCACCGATTCCAGGCAGCGTTGGACGGCCGAGCCCAGAAGTTCGTCCAGCAAAAAGTTGACCAGGCTGTGGGGAGGAGATATATGAAGGCTCTAATCTGTGAGTCAGGACGGACTTACTTCTCATCGCTGACAAAGCGCCAGAGGTTCATCTGCAGGTAGTGGGCATCCACTTGGATCTGCTGCAGTCCATACTTGCTGAAGGTCCTCAGTCGTACGCATTCCAGCAGCGTCTGCAAGGGATTCATTGATTAAAAGCCGCAAAGCCCGATTGGAGCACTCACTTTAAGGCCAATCTTAATGATGCCCATCACAATGGAAGCCTTGGTGAATTCCACCGATGTGAAGATGTCTACTCGCTCCGAGAACAGGCGGTGTATGTTGGACACATAGCTGGACTCGAGCTGCGAGGGCGTGTAGTTGGACCAATTGGAGCGATACTGCGGCTTCGAGGCCGTGAAGTTGCTGAAGTAGGTCTTGCGGCTGGAGTCGCTGCTGGCCGTGGTGCGAAAGCCTGTTGGGTTCCCCGTCCCCTCGTACAGACTGGCCACCACCGTCTCGATGCTGCCTAGCTCCTCCACCACTCGCTTCATAACCGCCCGCACGGAACGCGGTTCGAGGCAGTTGAGCCAGTCACGGGTTTCGACGCTCTTGCGTAGCATCTGGGAGATGTTTGCCCCTTGGAGGCGAACGTACGCGTCAAGTAGGGCATGGGCCGTCTCCCGCATCTCCGCACAGATTTCAGTCTCGTGGGTGAGCGTAGCACTATTCTCCGAGTCGATTTCGTAGAGGTCATCTACCAGTGCAATCTGTAAAGAGGAGAGGCGATTAGAAATCTAGGGCATCGATGGAGGGATGCTTACCAGTATGTGGACGCCTTGCAGCTCCAGTTCTAGGCAGGTTTTGGACAGTACTAGGAGTAGATTCGGCGGACTGGAGCTGGAAGCATCACCGAAGCCGCACATCACCTTGGAGATGTGGCGCAGGAAGCCAATGAGAAGGTTTTCCCGAATGCCCTCCACACACAGGGCGCCCTTGTGCTCGGCCTTGATGTTGAAGGACCAATCGGTGCGCAGAAAGATAAGCAAGTCCTGGAGCACACCCTTGATCTTCTCCACCATGGCCACGTACAGGTTGCTGATGAGATCCGACAGGTTCAGGCCGGTGGCCGCATCACTCTTTGCCGACACTAGAGAAAGACGCACAGCGCTTAGGCTATCCGCGAAGTGATCCTTCAGGTTCTTGGCGTGGGCGTCACACAGCTGGTGGGCGGCACCAATTATGATGTCAACCGTATTGCGCTGTACCTCCAGTCCTCTGCAGATGTTGCGCATGGCCTGGAGACGTCGATGTAGGCGGTCCAAGGCCCGAAGCATGACCTGGGTGTCGCCATAGCCAATATCCGACTCTACGCGATCCTGAACTAGTGTCAGATACTTGTCGATGTTTTGGTTGAGGAAGATATTCAACTCGAGCAAAGCATTTTCCTGGAAGTCGTCGCTGAAAGGGATCACAGATGATTAGGTTCGGAGAAGTGGGAATTTATGGCCTTGATTTACCGCTCTTGCTCGTAGTGCTTAGCCACAAACATATCAAAGTAGGACGTCACCACCAGGGCCAGGTCGTTAAGGAAGCCGTCGATACCCATGTCCACGAACTCCAGCATATCCCGCTCCGTTTGGTCCTGCAGCATAACTATCAGTTCGTGTAGGCGCTTGCCGGCACAGGTGAGCATCTCGCTGGCCAGGTCCGAGGTTTTCTCGTCCAGTTGCAGGAGCAGCTCTCCGATCTCCGTCAACGACTGGGCCGTGTTACCGGCCCGCTGAAAGTCCTGGCGCAGCGTCTCTTTCAGGTCAGCCATAATAGCATCGCAGTCCTTTTGAATACCATCAAAGGAGGGCTGTCTGCCGTATTGGGCAAACACCTTCTGGGCGTGGAGGTAGTCCTGCACCGCCTGGGCGTAGTTCTGCTCCTCGATCAGGCCCTTGAGCTTGCCTGGCAGTGTGGACAGGAACTGGAGACGCTTCAGCAGAGAGTGCTTCTCGGAGAGTCGGCACAGCTGGGAGCGTGTGCCCTGCAGCGTGCCCGTGATCTGTTCGCTGAACGTGGTGATTGACTGCATCTTTGTCATTAGAAGGTTCACGTCTGACTCCATCTGCTTGAAGTCATCCTTCATTTTCCGTATCGTGTCAGTGGCTGAGATGAACTTGTTGTAGTTCTCATACACCAGCGTCTGCATGTCCGAGTGCAGGGTCTGGGTGTCCTTCACAACAGCCGCCTCCGTGTCCATGATTTGTCTCAGGGAACAGTCCTAAAATATAGTAATGTAGGGTTGGCCCAATCCGCTAACCAGATGGCTCACCTTCAGGAGCCTCTCCAGATACTTTTCTGCATCGAAGCTGGAGCTGTCCATGTCAAATGGACTGGCGTTGCTCTCACTCATTGTGTAGCGTGTAATTTAGTTTGCTCATAAACTAATTTTGTTTATCAAAGTTCGTATTTTTTGTTGTCGTCCGCAGAAAAGTGGAATAACGCAAGTCCAGTGTTGGCTAGTGCTCCATTTTTCATATCAGCTGATTGCACGTATCGAAATCGACTTTATCGGTTTTATCGGCCGATCGGCGCGTGACTGCCGACTGCTTCAATTGCGTTGTATACTAAGACAAAAGGTTGTAAATATGTTTACGCTGCATAAATATTATTGGGAGCTGGTTTTTAGCTCTATCTACCATGGAGTTATTGTGTTTAATTAGTCTTTCATGTGATGACGGGTTCGAAACTAAGTGGTTTCTCGTCGTTGAATAAACGTGGATGTTTTGGCAAATATCAGCATGTAAGTAGAATAATTTCATAATTACGGGGGGGAACGGGGGTCGACACGGCCCTATCAATAAATAGGGGAAAAGATAAAGGGGCACAGGAAAAGACGGTGCTTTTGCGCTGCCGCTCAAATACACTTCGTGTAACAGCGATCGGCACCAATACCATAACCATTCTTTTCAATTTTTCTTGCTGTCTACGCACACAACAGCACTGAAATATACATACATAGGTCCCAATTGCTAATGAATTTTCTTCTGGAAAACGAACTGTAACGAAGAGAGCGTGCGAGTGATTTCAGGGGACTGGGGAGATCTGGACTAGCTCACTCGACTCAAATATTATTGCCCTCGATCACCGCTGGAAATATTTTTTTTTCATTCTACTGATAAGAACAGATCATTTGTTGTCGAATCTCGGCTACGACATGTACAACATGAAAATTTCTCTCCTGACCGTTCTGGCACTGATGCTGGCTGTCTGGACTGGCGCTGTAGCTGGAGGCGGGTAATCCAAGTGTACGTCGGAGAATAATTATAATAAAAGAACTAACTTTCAGATTGTGTAACAGATCCCGTGACAATGCTGTGCATATTGGATCCCAATCAGGGCTAATAACCGTGTGCAGCTCAATCTCTATGTCTTCTCCTGTGCCTGTCTTGAATAAAGTTGAAACGTGGAACCCTATGAAGTTTTTTTTTTATACCCGGTACTCACAGAATATAGGGGCTTATTCGGTTTGTGTAGATGTACCAACCAGATGGAAGCCATAATGTATACAAATTATTGATCAACATCAATTGCCGAGTCGATATAGCCACTGCAGTCATATTGCTTAAGGGTTAAATAAATCATAAGAATATATACTGACTGAATATTGGGTATGAGGAGAGTCGCGCCCTATGCCTTTTTGGGGTACCAACAACATATTGTTTCAGATATTGAATAGATATATTGTATTGCTATTTTATATAATTGATAAATATTCGTATTTCGTTTTTGTTACCCTAATCCTTCCTTAGTTTGTCAGCTATATTTAACTGCTGCACAAATGTAACCACCGAAAAGGCCAGCTTGGCAACCTGTAAAGGAAATTTTGAGTCAATCAGAGTCGAAGAATTGTTAAGTATCTCATTTCCTTACGGTGATGTTGGTGTTCAAGCCTATGGGGAATATAGATCCGGCGGTGAAAGAGATCGGCATCTGGGCATTGTGCAGGAAGTAAATCAACGAAGATTTATATCTGCGACTTGAGCTCTTCCAGTGGGAGTGAAATATGGCCAAGGCCAAGGACTCACAGTCATCCTTCAAGAGGTCACAGGTGAAGCAGAAGGGAAACGTCTGAATAATCAGGCCATTTATATACGCCGCTATAGCCAACTTTGCCCAGAAGTCGGCAAAGAAGAAAAGATTGAGCATGGTTATCCCCAGGAGCAGACCGATAAGCAGGAATTGCACAAAGATGATGGTTTCGATCACAGGACGCATCACAGAGACGTATCTATTGGGGAATTCAGAGGGCAATCACTTAAGAATTCAATTGATTTACCTTAAATTTATACTCAAGAATAAGTTTGTGATCCTTAATACAAAACACAAGATCCTCATTGTTTTCATAATCACTCTTACGAGGGTCCGAGCAAAGGTTCTCGATTCTCTGCCTGAGGAGCTTTACGTGGCACCGTAGAATCAGACCGTACAGAAGGGGAAACACATCCATCATATATGTCTGGCTAACTATGCCGTTCATGGGTATTAGTTCCAGCACTGAAGCTATCCAAAGATTCATTGTGCTCTCGCGCCAATCAATGAATGGATTGTAGAGGTGAAATGGCAGCACTCCCGAAAAGATTGCCGTGAAAAAAGTCGATAGCGTGTAGGCGGTGTACATAAACTGGTAGATGAGATAGACAATGTTGCATCGTGCCACCCAGCGATGCACCTCCAGGCGCTCCGTGATGTTGATGCAACGCTTGTCCATGCGGCCAAGGAGCTCCTTGATCTTGTGGTAGCGCCACATATTGAGTCTCATGATAATCATCTTCAAAGGAAACCCCCCTGCGTTGATTCCGACCTGCAGCACTGACAGTGCTTCACTTGGAGATAAGGTTTTCAACTCCACGAAAAAAGTGATGAAGACTCCGATTGGAACGTAGAGAATCCACCAAAAACTAATGACAATCGTCAGTATTATTCTGAAGGGTTTCCATCCTTCTTGCGGCGGTGTCCATCCCATTAAGATCATGGCGTACTCAAGGTACTTGAACGCCTCTGGCGAGGACATAAGATTCCACGGAAGTGGCTCTTTTAACAAGTTAAACAGCATTGCGTTTCGATGGTGCTTGTATGCGTCTAGCCCTTGACTGGGAGTAGACATGGCAAAATGTCTGTATTTATACCATCTCCTTGAACACTGGGCTACATCTATCGCCTTTTCTGCCACCCTGCTAGCTCAATGCATTTCCCTGACAAATGTGTAACTCTTCCCACGCATTTCACGCATAATAATAATTGGGGACCATTGGTTTTGCAACTTTGTGTCTTTTGCTTACTGAATTCTTGATTCAATAAATACTTGCAATGCGTTTTCTAAATCGAAATTCCCATTTTCCTGACCTAATATTCTACATTATTCGAAGATAATAAGAAAATATTCTGCACGTGGAAAGCCTGCATGGGTAAACATATTGATGGACTGTTTTATACCCGGTACTGCAGAGTATAGGCCTATATAATTAAGGAACAAACTTGCAGTTTCTGCAATGATTGGATCCCAAGCAGGACTAATAATCGTGTGCAGCTGTGTCTCTCGTGAATAAAGTAGAAACGTTGAACCTCATGGGGTCTATTATATTTTTACTTGAGCTTTTGAAGCCTCCTGGTTCTGCCCTTCATAAGAAAAACTCTGCCGCGGCTGCTGTTAGTCTGATAGGTAGGTATGTATGTATGTGTGCGTGTGGCAAATCACATTAGACATTCCATGCCCCTGGCCAGGAGTTGGGCATGTGCGTCCTTCGGCTACTTGTAAGAGGTCCCACAGACCATTGCAGACAGATTGTTCTGCCCTATCTAAGGGTATACATTATTTAATTTGTCCACCTTTTTTGCTATTGTCTTTTCTGTGGAAACAGCATACGTAAAAGTCGCTATAGGGTAGGCGCTATAGGTAGGCTTCCGATTTGGACTACTTTTTTGCATATTTTTTGCAATAGCACCAGTCCTTCTGCAAGGGTATCCCAAGCTTTGGCTTCCACTTTCTTTCCCTACTTTCGTGTTTCATTTACTTTCTCTTTTTTGTGTGGGCCGGGGGGAAGAGGGTCTACCCGCTGGCGGTCGTGTCAAGTTGAATGAACATGGACAAGTTTTGCCACTTCCATTCCTGGCTGGCGGGCAGACAGGCGGTGCGGAGAAAGTTTCTGTGCTGTATCTCGCATCAGAGTTTCGGAGAATTTCTCCCGGAGACCAGACCCTACACAACCCCCCCCACCTCACGTACCTTTTGCGGCTGCTTTTGGCTCATTTCAAATACATTAACATTTTGACCTTTCGGAAAAAAGTTGGAGCTCAGGCTCGGTCCCATCTCGTCTGGAATTTAATTTCAAGTTGTGTGCAGATTGCGCAAATCACACGATTGCCTCCATCATGTTCTTTCGATTCGGGGCATGCCGCTGCATACCTGCAGGCCCAAGGATATCGTAATCCGAACACACGTGTAGCGGGAACTTTGCTTCATCAAACTGAAAATTGAATTCACGTAAGCCCGGAGAAAGTCACACAAAAATGAGAATTAAATTCACGGGACACGGCGATGCAGACGGAGACGTAGATGGAAAGGAAGACACGTGGCAGAGGGACGGACGGACAGGCGTGAAACGTCGAACGTGTCAAGGTCAAGTTACCATTGTCCTCGTCGTCATTCTGCCTTTTTCCCTTATAGCTTGCCCCATTCAGCGCCTCCTCCTCCTCCTCCTCCTCCGCCTCCACTCTCTGCACTCCGTCCGTTTGTGCAGTTTTGAAGTGCGCCAAGTCGTTAAATTAATTTCAGTGCACTCGGAAGACAGGAGCACCGTAAATTGGAGCACAGCCAGCGCTCATTTTAAACGGATTATGTGCACGGCATTGGGTGGATGGGGGCTCCTGGCTGGTCCATATACCATGGTACCATGGTAGCATGGAGCTGCTTTGCTTGTCAGAGATTACTGGCAAGTGGCCGTCAAGTGAGGCTGCGTGAGTGGACAGCAAATGAAAGGCAAACAAGTGGAGAGCCATAACACACATAACTTTAAGCCATGTTGGGTCAAAGGGGAGGGCGTAAAGAGGGGGCGATCTAAAATGAGGAGAAAAGAAAAAATACACGATTTTACACGATGCTTTACTGCCACTTGAAAAAATGTTCGTTGGAAGTATTTCAACCATTTATGGATATAAATCGTATCACGATTATTCTGCTCTGTTTTGTTTATCGAGCTTAATTATCAAAGGGATTATTATAGTTTCCAAAAGGCTTTATTAGTTCCTGGACCCCGACTTGATTGTTCCAGATCTGAGTTCCATACCGTCAAGACTTATAAACAAGACAGCTTATTCGTGATATCCATTGGTGTGCTTGGAGCACTTTAAAGTCGGCGATAATATTGTCAAGTGTCGACAGTTTTATCAGCTGCCAGAGCCAAATGCAATTTAAGTGCACTTGCAACATAAAAAGAGCGGAAAATAAAGCAAAGCATACACTCGTATAAGTACGTCTGCACATAGCTCTATATAGATGTGTATGTATGTGTGTATACTAGTGGTATTCCCCGCTGAACATTGGTTTGGGGCATGCCATAAATCTGCACGCAAAAAGCTTCCGGCCTTTCAGCCCAAATTCCTGACGCTTTTCCTCCTGCTGCTCCTGCTCCTCCCTCCCCCTGCCAATCACCCGCTTTCGCTGCCAGCCGCCAGGGGGTGCTTTAATAACGCCAAAGTGCTGCCGCAGGTGTTTGGGCGGGGCGGAGGAGAGGAGAGCGCACGGATAGGCGGGCAACGATGCAAATGCAGCTCAAAGAAGACAGTGGCAGAACACTTGGTGGATGCCACATCCTTTGGCCGTGTCAACTGATGGACAGCTACAGATCAGAGTTGCTTTTACAGCCCACCCTCCTGAATCCCGCCTGTAAAATGTTAAGTGTGGCTGCCATTCCATATCCCTATCCCCATCGCCATCCCCCCTATCCATTGCTTGCTCTCTGCTGGCGTTGTAAATTTTTTATTGCCCTTTGGCAGCTGTATCTTTGGGCGGCTGAGGCTGCTCCATTGAGGCTACCGGGTCACGTGCCACTCTCGACCTGCCCCGACCGACACTTCCTGCGACAAAATCAGCGCTCTGCCATCTTGGCCAGCAATTGAATTCAAATGAAGCCAGGCCAAGCGCGGTTCCCTCAAGAACAAATGCAATGCCATAAATCAAGCATAAAAATTGACATTAATTTCACCCCCGAAAGAGAGAAAGCCCGAAGTGAAATGGAGATGGAGGGAGAGCGGAAAGTCCCCGAATTACGTGCTAGAGACCTGGTGGATTCTTTGGTGAAATTTTTGTCTGATTTGGTGGAATGAATGTGCCAACGGCTTTGTCAAAAGTTATATTTTTTAATTACATACTCTGGGCGTCATTTTGTTCGTATTTCTAACCATAAATCCGATCATTTCCACCTTATTTCGAGATTAAGTGCGCGGATTAGCAAACAATTAGATGAGAATTTCGGCACATGCATATAGCAATTACAGTTAACCCCCTGTACCGGACTGAAATGAGTTCATTACAATCTGTGGTTTTGCTGTTTACCCACATCAATCGAAACCGCAGACATATATAAACAGATAAACTCGATTCCCAGCTGGAGAATGAAAGGGTTGATGGTCCAATAATCACCATATTTGTGGTAAATTTAGAACCGCCCAAGGGGCCAGGGGACAAGTTCTTTTTCCGGTTCGATGCACGCGCGGTAATCCGTGGCATCCAGTCATTGATTGTGGACAGAAATAACTTAAACAGCCAGCTGAAATTGATGGCCTAATGTGCGTTGTATATTCTCTACCTGTGACCATGTTTGTTCGCTCTCATGACGTGTTTTGGCGCTCTTTTCCCCAGATCATCCAGGGACTCGAGCTGGTTTACAATTCCAAAAATTACTCTCTCTCTCTAAATGGAATGGGATTTTTTGGTGTCCTGTCCAGCTTCCAAGTGTCATTAGTCCTGTGATGCTGATGAAACCAAAGTCCGCCGCGTGCGTACACATTGCCATACCTCAGCTAACAGATGTGTCTGGCAGGGACATTGTGGAGGGGCAGCAACAGGGAGTTGCATCCACATGCACGGCAACCGCCATTCCACACGAAAAAAGCAGTTTACCTGCGCGCTGCAGCTTGGCCCTGGGCTTGGGGTTGGGTCTAGGGATTTTCTGGCTAAATGAAAATCCCTTCTGAAACTGACAACAAATACAGCTGATGGTGATAGTGGTGCAGGTGGCTAGTGCTTGTGGGTGGGGCGGATCACAGACAGGAGAGCATGCACGGTGGCAATTACTCATGGAAATACTCGTAGTTCCAGTCTAGCAGCAGAGGGAACAGAGGGGCCTTGAGTGTTACCGTTGCTCTGTGTGTGTCCCCCCCTCATCTTATTTATTCTGCCCTTCGTTTGTGCAAAATCAAAATTCCTATTGTTGTTCTTGTTGTTGCTGTGCCTGTTGTTGATTTTGACCAGGCCCAAGGGGGAACTATTAAAGGGAGAGATCAGACCAGAACGCAACGGAACGGAGCACAGATAAATCCTGAATGTCGATGGCCGTACCCTCGGCCATCGTTTGCATCCCATCCGTTGGCGGTTCTTCTCATTTTTGGACATGCCAGCCATACGAAACTAAGCTACAAATATGCACAAAATCGAATATGATGGCTGCTGCCATGCTTATGGCATCCTCGAGGCCACATGACAATCAGCATGCATTATTTAACAGTGCCCAAACAAACATGCAAAATGCCATAACCGACACAAATTTCTGATGTTCCCTCATCCAGATCCGCCCTGAAAGTGTGCTGTACACAAATCGATCTATTGCTCCTCAAAGTCCCAACAGTACAGTGAGTTTTGGCACTTTCGAAACGTTTGATCTACCTTTGAGGAAGCACTCTTCCAGTCATTCTCTCAGTGTAGGGAATGCTGGCGAAAGGGGAAACCGGAATGCGCCTCGTTTGCTCCGTACGTAGCATATGTACGGGCATGCAGCTTCTCTGTGAATCTGAATGCAGCATAAAAGGCACCGCAGCACACTATAACCGACTGGGGACTTGAACTGGGTTTTGGGGCATATTTTGCGCCAATTTCCATACAAATCTCTCTCTGGCACACACACACATAGCTAGATGCTAGCCCAAAAACACACACATACTGCAATCCCAGTGTCGATCGCAAAAGGGAAGTAGTTTGCATAGTTTGACCCACAACCAACCCCACCCCAAACATCATGGTATGAATGAAACAAAACAAAACAACACAGAAGAAGAAACCCAAAAGGAAAACAAAAGCCCACATGCGATAAAGAACAACAAAGGGCATGAGGGGGAGAGCAGAGCAGAGCAGGAGCAGCAGAGGCAAAAGCAACAGCGACGACAGCAGAGGCTGAGGCTGAGAAATAGAAGAAAATTAAAAAGTAAACACAAAATTTCACGTGCTTCGAATGCAAGAGCAGCGGCCACAACAGAGGAAAGGAAATGTAAGAGCAATAAACGAAGCTGCGCAGTGACCAAAGAGAGAAAGAGAGAGAGAGAGAGAGAGAGAGCGTAGGAGACTGCGCATGTTCGAGCAGCAACAACAACGAGCCAAAGCTCCATGGGCTCCATGGGAATATCTTTCATGCGAGTTTTGTTTACCGTTATGATGACGTATGCATGTGGAGGAGATGCCGGGCATATCCGACTGGAAGTAACAGAATGAGAGAAAGATTAAAAGTTAAACGAGATTAAATAATATTTTAATTGACAAATTCAACATTCGATTCAAGTCTCTGGAGTCTCCTCCTCTGCTCTAGCTCTACTTGATGCCCTACAAATCAGAAATGGTTTGTAACGCTGAGAGTTGGACTGTTTAATCTAAGTTCTCATTCAAGAGTGTTTATTTGAATCTTTTTGAAGCTTAGCCGAGAGTTCTCCCATGCATCTTATTAGTGCGTGTGGAAGAGACCCTTAGCCTCAGTATGGGTGCGTTTGAGCTCTGTCTGTGTTTTGGGGAAATGCTTGATCAGCAGTTTGGCAGATCATGATGCTGTTCAAGAATGTGTAACATAAACAATAGTTGTTTATATACGCGCTTCTATATGAGTTTCACTCATATGCATGGCTTCAATACAGGTTCAAGATCTTATGTATTGGAAGGTGCTTGCCATGGTTGTTGTGGCCCATCGTTTTCTCCCAACACCTGCCTGCTGAAGCTTACTTTGCATGGAGATGAGAGTTTTACTTGCTCTTCCTTGCCTGCCCCCCTTCCTCGTGGCATAGCTTTGGAGTGCGTATTATTTATGCGTAGACATTCTGGCGCCGCTTGTTGTTTGAAAAGAGAGAGAGAGAGGGAGCCGTGAGTGGGGGAAAGAGCTTGCAGCAGAGAGCGGCGCCCGAGAGTTACTCCCATAAATAACCGTTTGCGGCTCTTTGCTGCCTTCAGAAGTGTGCGAAGTGTCGAGGCGAGCGGACGTACGCTCCGTCTGCCGGGTTTTCTTTGCTGCCAGGCTGTTCTCTTATATAGTATATTACACTGCTAAGCACACAAACATATACGCGCACATACACACCTGTACACAAATCGAGCGGGCAAAATGTTGGAGCACGCGCGCGCAAAACTCGAACTAAAGCAAAACGAATCGAAAAGTGCTTCAAAATCCACGTGAAACGGTGCAAAAGCAATTGGGAAAAAAAGATTTCAAATCGAATCAAATTGTGGCGAAATTAAAGTGGAGTTTTCTTTCTTCCTGGAGGAAAAATCAATGCTGTTAAACGTAAACTGACGACGCGCAGATACACACGCACACGAATCGCACACGTGTGTCTCCAGCACAAACACTACGAGACACACACAACCACACGGACAATCGGCGAAAGCCTAACAAAGTGAAAGTAACGGAATTAGCCACCGAAAAGGCGAGGGAGGGAACGCAACCAAAGTGCATAGGAACGCGGCAAAGGAGCTGAAATAAATCCTCGTACATTTTGCATTGCCTACTTTCCAGCTGAGGGAACCACATTCTTGGACTGAATTCCTCTGCTGCTGCTGATGGCCGAGTCCTCTGCGCTAGTGAGTGACTGAGACTGTGTGTGCGTGCTTCTTTGGCTGTTTCCAAAAGTCGGTCATACTAAAAAAAACACAAACAGTGAAGGGGGGGCGGAACTAAAGAGAAGAAGGGCAAAGGCATGCAACGTAAACAGGCGGCCAAAGCAGCCGCCGACGATGTAGCTCCAGCAGCAGCAGCAGGAGCAGCAGGAGCAGCAGTGGCAGTGCCAGCCTGAACAAAGATAAACACGCAAAACAAAGCAAAGTGGGTCAGTGTGCGAGGAGGAGGAGGAGGAGGAGGCGTTGCAACACCAGCAGCATCTTGAGGAGGCATCGACATGTGTCGATGGACAAACAGCAGTACGCGGCACACCACACTCGAAGGCTCAAAGGCAGACAGCTCAAAAGGGTAAGTGTACCGGAAATCCTTGCAAAGGCAATGGCGAAAAATCTGATACGCATACTTAACCTTGAAAAACAGTTTCGTTGAAATGAAGGGTTAGTGGCGGACAGAGTGGAAGAGGAATCGTTGAAAGGGTTGAAAGCGCAGCGAATAGCGTGGGAAGAGGACTGGGAATGAGGAATGGGTAGGTGGAATCAACCTGCTCAAAGATACGAGCTGCGAGTCGAAAAGTAAATGTCGAATCGGCGAAATGGCGAAATGCCGAAAGGAGCAATAAGAAAAGGACAGCAGAGCAGAAAGAGAGGGACAGAGAGATGAGGGGGGGGTGCGAGAAATGCCAAATGGAATAGCAGTAAAATAAAATATCCCCGTGAATGTTGCGCTTGCAGGCGCCATCCCCAAAAGCCCCACCAACTCTTGGCCCTGCCCCTGGGCTTCCTAATGCTCATCCATATCCACACAGAGGGTCCCCCCTCTCTCTGTGTGTGTGTGTGTGTGTGTGTGCCGTCTGATGTGGGTCATAAATGTTACTCCATTTTTATGGCCAACTTGCACACGATGACGATGTCGGAGAAGGCGGAGATGGAGACGCAGGCGATGGCAGAGCCAAAAGCAAAATGAAAGAGCTGCCAGCATAACCAAATGGCAAGGATATGCCAGGAATAAGCCAGAAAGGAGAGCTAGCCAAAAGAGTGGGACGAAAGCGGGAGTCAGCGGAAGGGACATTAAATGGCCAGCGCCAGAGCCGGTTGCACGTTTTCACGACTAGCGAGGGCTGCCACAGCCCTAGCCGAAGCCCGAAGCCCGAAGCCATTGCCAAAGCAAATAAATAAATATAAATATTCATTAGGGTCTCTCATTCAGATTTCCCCAACTTCCAAATCGTGGAAAATGGGAATTAATGATATTAACAGCTATTACCAGATTTCCCCCGCACCCGTGGACCGACCCTCTAGCTGCTCCCGCCGCCCCAACAGTCAGAGCGACCCTCTAGCCAGCTGGCGCTGACCATTTTCGCCTCGATTTCAACTCGAAATCCGCTGTTCGCGTTTCATTTTGTTTTTCTTTTGCCTCTCTCTCTCTCGCTCTCTCTCTCTCTTTCATTGTTCGCATGTTGCATGAAGAGGACCCAACTTTCCATGAGATTTTCTGGCCGCTAATGCAATTGTGGTGCATAGTTTCGGAGCTGGGGCATTCTCACAGTTGCTGCAGCTCAAGTGGCAATTAGAAGGATCTGGGATGACATTTGCCACGGCGGGAGCTTTATGTAATTGCAATGCGGGGGAAGGCAACCTCGCAGCTGTCGTCCCATTTGTGGTTGTAGGCATCGCGTGACCTTGAGCGCCGTTTGGGAGCAGCCGAGCGTATGGAATGGATGTGGATGTGAGTGTGGGTGGCATGCAAATCCATTGAAAGCGCACGGCTGCAGTTCAAGGCTATTTTTACGTTACGCAAGCAACTGCAAACACAGATACACACGCACACGGGCTGTGAGGACTGTCTGTGTGTGTTGGTGTGCGATTGCTTATCCTTGAGCGTCAGTTTAGCGTCGGGAATGTTGCATGCGTGGCGTTGACATTTTCTACAGTGACGAAAGCTGTCGTCAGCCGAAACTCTTTTCCTTTCTTCATTACGTGATTCGATATAAATATATTCTATATATATATACCCAAAGGTGTCCTATGTCGCTGCCCGGCTTATGCAATCCTTTCGCTCTCCTTTCTTCGTTCTCTTCCGCCTACTCCATTCGGGCGGTACGGTTGTGCAACTGGAAGCATCAGCAGCTTGAAGATGTTTTGTTCTGACTGTACTCCAATCAATAAGATAATTCTCTTTCAGTGACTGTACTTTTAAAGCTTTAAATCATTCAGTGATGGAACAAGTTTTGATTTCTTTGGAAAGAATTGCAATTTGGGTGTGAAAACATCTAGAACGCATGGAGATACTAAACTATTATCTATTGCATAGTGACTGTACGCTTTTGGGCACTCCTGACATGGCATTGGCTGAAAAACGTCTTGCTTCTGAATGCAACCGGGGAGTGATATATCCTCTTTTATAGCCTTTCAGAGAGACATGCTTTGTGCGCTGCAAAAGCGACACCGGATATCCTGGCTGGCTGCATTGTATCATTCTGTACTCGCCCCTCCCCCCACCTCGAACCCACCACAAACACCAGCAACCTTTCTCTTGCCTTTGCCTCAATGTCAATGCATATTTGAGGAGGTTTGTTTAATCGAAACGCGGCCAAACTCCAGTCCCGTGTGTGTGGCAGGGTGGCGCCTTTCGGGAGTGGCGTGGCATGTGTGCGTGTTAGCCTGGTCGTGGCTGGCGGCTGGTGGCTTGGCCTTGGAACATAACATGACATAAATGCAGAGCCGTTACGCATTATTAACGTTATCAAGAGTCGATCGCCGTTAAGGCCACGCCCAGAAACTAATGGTTCCCCGCTTCCCAGGGCTCCAACTAGAAAGAGTCCTATTTCTTTCCCCCGTTCCAGTTCCAGTGCTCATTAGAAGCGTCTCAGTGGCATGTCTGCGGCCTGCAGTTGAATTTGAAGTTGCACTCTTGCACACTTGCGGGCGTAAAGGGATGCTAACCGTACTAACCCGGCCGGCGGGGACATTAATTTCATTAAAAAGTTGTGCATCGGAAAAGTTGTTAATTAACGCCTTTGGCTGGGAAAGAGGGCAAACTAAAAATAGAACCGAAAACCAGCGAAAGAGTTGCGGAAAAATGCATTAACGAAACCGAAACTAAATTGGAAACAAAGTTTTCCCTGTTTGCTCCGGCTAATGATCCTAGAGGCCGCCTCTTGCCCCTCCCAGGAATCATCATCCGCCCTCGCATATGATTTGATGGATTTTTGTAGGGGATATTTGGGTGTCATTCATATTGCATTAAGCTACTGAAATTACTCTACAAACAGAAGAATCCATCAATATTTAATGCGGTCCGGGGCTGGTCCGCACGCAATTCCCATTTTGCCAAGAACTTTTGTCAATGCTTACCTTTGAGCTAAGGTCAGACCTTGGGACATGCCTCTGGCAGGATAGTGGAGGTTGGAGTTTGGGTAAATCTAATTTGGGACTTGACCCGTGATTACCGCAGCTATAAATGCAAATCAACCGAGTCGCGGAAACTGCACAAATGCCGCAATATAAACTTGGCCACAAAACAAATCACAAAACGGAAAGGAAAGGAAACGAAAGGAGCAGAATGGAAGGACCCGCAAGGCGAAGGCAACTAAAAACAATTTGCCGTAATCAAAACGAAATCAGCAAAGCGCAAGCCACAGCGTCGCAATGCCGGAAAGTGGAGCACTACACTGGCCGGAAATCGAGCGGGCCAACCGAAGATCGGATGCTCTGCTGAAAAGTATCAAAAATATACGATAAATACACCAAAGATGACAAAAACAAAACAGCATCGAGCAGCAGAAGCAAATGATCCGTCAAGCAGTACATTAAACTCAAACCTGAACGTTTGGTCCATTCTTTGCCCTTGAAAAGCAACCGATCAAGCAGTGCGCTGATGAAACCTGAAGCTTTGGTTAGTTTTACCTGCAAGCAGTTTATTGCCTAAACCTGAAGCTTTGGTTCATTTTGGTGTCTTAAAGCAGTGCATGGCGTGAAACCTGAAGGAGTGGTTCGCTTTCGACCAGCATAAAACCTGAATGTCTGGTTCCTTCGCAAACGCATCTCTTTCTACTTATCATGTGGTTGATATTGGTTAATTAGGCATGATTCTATAAGGAAGTCCTTCCCGAACTTCCAATTAGTCATTAGATCTAATTAGATAGATAGCCCCGATACCAGTTAGAGTATACCAACTGCAGCTGTTGTGGCAGCGCCACCAGGAAGGGGAGGACTGCGGTGGCTAGAGTCAACAAAGAGCCACAGTTCCAGCGACCATCATCCATTCAGGTGCTCCGTCATTATATATTTGTTGTCACTTGAAAAATATTTGTGCTTTGCGCTTGATTTATGCTCTGGCAACAATTGAGACAATAAAAGGTGGAATGGTACGTGGAGAAGGGTATGGCCGGTGAGAGTCCTGTGAACCGAGCAGCGGAAGGCAAACATTGCGGATTGTTGGAGGCGAAACTGTTGCAGGATTCGCCTACAGAACGGGAATGGGGACGGGAACGGGAACGGGAGAAGGGCTTTGGCAGTGCGGAATATGCAAATATCGGAAGAACAAAAAGATAATGGCATCGAGTACCACAACCATGGACAGGCACTTTAGCCGCCATCCAGTGCAGGTGTATGGTGTATCTGCCATTGACAATGGGGTCTACAGGAGGAGGGAGGGCGGCAGGGACGGTGGATGCTTCCTGTGGCGTTGTCACAGGCAGTCGAATGTTTGCATAACGCAACAAAAGCAAAAAAAACAAAGGCTGCCACAAAAAAGGGTTCAACATAAATATATATTTTTACCCACTTGAAAAGTCGACGGGGCCCGACGCAAATCGCATTGATGGGAATCAAAGAAAGGGACAAAGCGAGCCAGCGACGCACACAGTAAGAATCGAAGAGGTGGCAAGAGAATCGAAGGGACAGAGAGAGAGGCAGAGAGAGAGACAAAGGCGAAAAGGGAAAAGGTTTTTGTGCCGAATTAACAATTCAATTTAAACCGACTGACTAAAGTGGGGACCGAGGGAGGGTTGACGGTCGACAGGAGGGAAAACTGCTTGACATCTATTTTCCTCAGGGGGCGCGTGGGGCGGGTGGCTGCCTAGGAGGAAGTGGTGTTTCTTCGACACAGAAATGGGACGGGTTCAAAGGTTGACGCACACACTTGACAATGACAATCGTTTGTTTTGCTGTCAATTCTGGTTGCTGTCGCTTCTGTCTCTGTCTCTGTCTATGACGTTCTTTCTGTTTCTGTGTCCGTTTCCGCCATTGTTGTTGCCTCTGTTGCCGCTGTTGACTTTGGACACACAATTTAATAAAGGCTTAAAGTTGTTGCAAGGACAAAACAAAATACTAAAAGGGAAAGGCAGA